TTTGTCTCTCTTGCTTTCAATCTGTCCTGTGAGTGTCAAATTCTCCAATCACTCTTTCCTCATTATATGCTATAAGAATTTCAACTTTGTGTCCTTTTTGTTTCCATTTTATTTAAAACTTCGTCATTGCTCACAGCTTCGCTCCATGGTATCCTCAGCAACCTTCCGTATAACCACATTTCTGTCGCCTCAAGTCTCTTCTTTATTTGTGAGTAGATTTTCCAGCATTCACTACCATATAGGAGAATTGATATTACATAAGAGTTCAGTAATCGTTACTTGTTTTTTAACGAAATTTTTCTGTTTTATCATATTTTGCTTAGCTTTTGGAAAGCATCTTTCACTATCCCAATGCGCCTTCGGATTTCAATGTCGCCATTTCCATCCTCTGTTAAAACACTTTTCCATTCACTATTTATAGAACTCTACCTATTTTGTAATAAATTCCGATAAGCCTCTCTTAGTTGTCCACCTCTAAGCAATTATATTCAAAGGTAGGTACACTTATAAGAAAGGAATGTGGAATCTTGTAAAATTGTATTTTTTTGTTCAGCGGAATAATCTTTTAAAAAGAGCGTGCGAACAACGCAGATGAATTTATGTGTCAGACAATTTTATATTCAATGGAAGGCGTTGTAGTGGAAATTTAACAGCCGTGCATATTATGACAACCAAAGTATTGTACATAAAATTAATTTAGGCGGACACTATATAAATATGGCTGACACACCAGATGAACATAAAGTACTTGGGGCGTATTGTGTCTATGCGAAAAAGCGACAGATTTGCTTTTTCTCCGATAATAGCTGACCAGATTCAAATTCACACAAACGCAAAAGATAATTATATATAGAGAATGGAAAAGAATGAAAAACTTTTGGAGTAACTTTTGATTGCTAGAATTTGGGGAAATATCCACCATTATTCTCTAAGTGTGCGTTTTGGTAAAGCTAGAAGCAGGCAACAGAATTCCTTATGGGTTTATTTCATATATTCATCTCCTGGAACATACAACTAGGATGCGCGGGAATTGCAACGGATATCGGCTCCGAATTTGCAGTTGTAAGTTCTAATTACGGGCTTTTCTCTGCGTTCAATTCTGTACTAATGCGCTTGAAAAACGCTCTTCTTCATAAGATAAGGGTTATAAAGCAGGACTTTTAAAAAGACTGGACACTCTAACACTTGGCAGGGAGCGAGTTTAAGAGAAAGAAATCTCTGAATTCCAAACTGTGAAAAAGGCAACGGAAAACCATTTTATCTTTTCGAAGAAGGCATGGCAATTCACAGGTAATAAAGAAGAAAATGTGGAGAGATCGCTTTACATCCTTAGTGGACACGGTACTAAAGATGTATACATTTATCAGCTTCTATTTAAAATTTGTAAAACTGATAATTATAAAGAAATAATTTAATTAATGCCTTCATTTCTTTAATTACTTTGATCAACATATCACGTTGCAACACCAGTTCCCGTATGATCACCGAAGTTAAGCAACATCGACCTTGGTCAGTACCTACATTTTTCTGCTAGGAGACCAGGAGGTTTGCTTTCCTGTCTGAATCGTTCGGTGGATGAGTCCGGTGGATAAGTAGTTGCGCCCATGTGTATATCGATCTGGATAACCTACAACGAATTCTGAACTGAATTAAATAGTAATAAATTAAATAAATGGTCTAGTGCAGAATTCACTTTAGGTTACCCAGATCGATATACACCTGAGGATGGCCGGAGGGAACAACGGTCGAAACGTTGTGATAACAACAACAAAGATGAGGCTAATAGTCCGAATATAAATAGTGTAAATAATGACAACTCCTCATTTTGACCAAAAAGAAAAATAGTAAATTTCAATTAATTTTTATTGTTATTTATTTCCTCTTTTCTCTGTCAATTTTATCAGAATTGTCAGACCCTTATTCTGCGATCATTGTTAAATATCACGGATCAGAAATAAATAAAAAAATACATCTGATACATATTAAAATTTTCTTTTATTTACTGATATTATTATAAATCGTGTATAGCCAAAATGCAGCCTGCGAACCTCATGCAGTGCTGTAACCTTTAACACGATGCTTGTGAAAATACATTAGTTGGACCCATTTTCGCCTCACAATGTTGTACAGGCCTAGTTTAACTAAGAATAACATTTCTGCTAAGATTTAATTAATACCAGTCAAAAATGAATCAAAACTTTTAATTTTGAGATGAGTCTAGACATAGTGGAACATGTTTCTGTTACTCATTGTAAACTCCACATCCACTCCGGATTGTCCCATGGGACTATAGCGTTGGTTCGTGAAATTGCTATAGTAATTATGAGTTCAATCCCTGGGACGGGCAGTGTGTACTTGGACTCAGTAGAAATGGAGCGGGCAAGGACTGAGTATATCTGTTTATATTTCTGATATGAGGTATTGTAATTATTTACATTGTTCGGACTGTTGTCCTCGTCTTTATTGTCATGTTCACAACGTTTCGACCGTTTTACGCTACGGCCTCCTTCAGGTGATTGGAATTTCGAACTGAAGACTTTATTTCGTCCACCGGGGCAGACTGTTCTAGTTCCACGTGCCATGGCTTTTCTGGATCTCCTCAAGGGCACATGACCGAGTGGCTGGATCCAGTAACATGGCCAAAAGAGTTGTGAGTTCAATACCTGGTTAAGGCAGTGGAGGACTTGGAAAGGTGAATTAACAGGAGATAGCTGATAACTGACATCCATAAGACATGGCACGTGGAACTAGAACAGTCAGACCCCCAGCTACGGCAGTGGTGAACCATAAACTTCGAGAGTCGAGTTAAAGTGAGATAACCAAGAGATCCGAAAGAGGTATGGCACGTGGAACTAGAACAATCACCTGAAGAAAGCCGGAGCGTAAAACAGCCGAAACGTTTTGCTCTTATTTGATACTGCTCAGTTCTTTACATTATTTACATTGTTCGGAATATTGTCCTCATCTTTATTGTAATCTTCACGACGTCTCTCTCTCTCTCTCTCTCTCTATCTATCTATCTATCTATCTCACCCTATTCATATCTATCTATCTATCTATCTATCTATCTATCTATAAACAAATGCTGAATGCCAGAGGGCACATCTGAAAAATTGTGACAACAACAACAAAGATAAGGACAATGACCCGCATGTAAATAGCGGAAATTAATGATGCTTCCATATCCCAGAAAATCAGACAGTAATTATTTCCGGTTTTCGTTGAATTTAACCATACATTAGCAGGTGTGACACACTCATCGGAGAAGTCAGTGAACAAACAGATATTACAATGTCGTAACAAAAGTCATTTGATAGCAGTTTGTAAATATAATGGTAGGAGACACCGCCATAGCTTGATGTCAGGGAAATATCCAAATCTATATCAGTAGTGCTCTGACATCTGGCAATTTTGTAGCCTTGAAAGAGTTCAAAAGCGTTGACGCGGCCTTGTGTGTGATGAATTATTTTCAACCCTGCAGTCCCTTTCTGACAGACAAAGCCTCCCAAGTTCATCGCGACTTTGTTTTTAATTGGAATCACCCCAAGCAAAGCAGCGGTGCCACCAAAACACAAGGGGTTACATAACGTGGAAGAATTAGGAACAGAAACACTAATGATGAGAAGAAAGAGAAGAGATAGCGATTGACATTGCATTTAATATTTTTTTTTTCAGATTAAAGTTAGCTGGAAAACATGGGTCCGGAAGGGAGTTCCACAAGCGAGAACTGCGAGAGAAGAAACTGTTAGCATAGAATTTACAGCTACATCTTAACTGTATATTGATGAGATCTCAACGCCAGTCTAGTGCTTAGCTTAAATTAAAAAAAAAAAACAAAAAAAACTCTAGGTAAAATAGCTAAGAGCGCATTCGAACAATTAACATTAAAAATAGACATACAGAAGCCACCTTACGGCGGTGGGAAAGTGACAGATCAGGACCAATAATATTGCTGATTCTTCTTTGGATTTTAGCAAGGAGCTTAAGGTAAATATCAGGGGCACCGGACCATATGTGGCAGCAATATTCTAAGCATGGATGAATGGTAGACTTATAAATATGTAAGATAGATTCTGAACAGAAAAAAGTGTCTCGCCCTACATATTGAACCAAATTTCTTGGCGGCTGATCTAGCAATGCAATTCAATATAGTCTTTCCACTTTATATCTATTCCGTTGCTATTTCCATGGAAAATGTTCGATAGGAACTACATATTCTAGAACCCCCATTCCGAGCTTTTCCCGTTATGCCACGCACACAGGATCGGTTCCTCATTATTTCTCATCGTATTCCATTGGCAAGAAGGACTTTTCGTGCAGGTACAATTTTTTTGATAACAGCTAGATTGTGGGACAGACTGCAGAGAGGATGCTTTTTATGATCACTATAATCTTAATGTCTTCACGTGTACTATCAACAGTTATCTATCCCACACATACTTATAATCTGCAATTATTGCTTCTTCTTACGACAATCCTGCGTTTTAGTGACTTTATTGCCTTACTTTGGGTGAAATGATTAAAAATGAAACGTTTTTCGGGATGATATTTGTATAGCAAAGTCCTAACGAGACTCTGGATCCCTATTCTCAACAAGTCACTATGGAGGATAGTGGTGGCTCCGTAATTGTGTAGGCTCTACCCGCGTCGCTTTGTCGAAGTAAAGATCTCATTGACTAGTAACCTCTCCGTTGCACTTTTTCGTGACAATTAGTATTTATTAATGGTCTTCATCTACCCCAATAACCTGTCTACTGATCCAAGTTTCTCAGAATTGGTCCGACTGATTTGTTTTTTACGGTTTATCAGCCATTTTTGCAGCTTATTTAATGTTTTTAGATCGTGAGAATTTTTTTTTAGATAATAATAATTTAGAGATATAAGTCATAGTAATTTAGCCATAGTTGAGGGAAGAAGAGGTTAATTCTTTCCCAAGGCTAATTCGCCTCTTCGATTTCCAATATCGAACCCTAATGCATTGCCCCACATACACATAGAAGCTTACAGCACCTGGTATTGCCAACTGGTCACTCATTTAGGTACTGACCAGGTTCGACGTTGCTTAACTTCGGTGATCATACAGGAACTAGTGTTCCAGCGTGATACGGCCTTAAAAACCCAAAATTGGTCTGAGAAGCATTCTGCAAAAGTTCACCTATAATGAGTCCAATAGAACATTTGTGGAACTTGATATAATTAGTTTATTTTCAAGCAAGATCATGCACCTTCAAAAATTAGGGATCCGTTGGCGGCTATCGAGATGACATTGTACAGCATTTCTTCAGAGGTTGGGCAAGTTGAAGCCTACACAATGCTAGATTTATATTCGATGATTTTGGCACATCAGAGTATTCTTAGCAATGAATGAACGGTTCTTGAAAAAAACAAAAACAAAAAAAACAAAAAAACAAACAAGTTCATTCCTTACAAGTAGAAACATTCAATTTTAAATTATTAACATAGCGATGAGCTTAGGTACAGCTGAAATCTGGTTGTTTCTTCTGGGAATATGCGGAAAAAAAATCGAATATTTTTTTTTTAATTCGAAAATAAATCTGAAAACGTACTATTATTTTTTTCTCAAATGGCAACCGCTGAGTCGATCTCTTTGAGAAAGAGGAGAAAACGGTCATCTGTCAGTTATCGTCTGTCTTTTAAGACTGGAAGTGGCCTGGAAAGATTAACCGCGCGCGGGAAATTGCTTTTCGACTGTCACTCACACAACCTGACTTGATATCATTGCTCGGGTTAATCCGAACAATAAAACGAAACTTTCGTTTGTAAAACAAAGCAAGACATGTAATAGATTCTCCTGCGTCCATGTAATAGCTCTATTCTGAGAATAACGGTTGTCTTAACTCCTGACCACTGACAATCCCTTCTTCTGTTTCACTGCATTTATATTGTGCAAATCTTTAGCGATGTATTTACATTTTACAAACGGCTCTATTCTCGCCAAACTTTTAGCTTTAATTCTTGACCATTGACAATAAACTTCTCCATAATTTTCAATGTGTTACTATTATAAAATCATTATGAATATATTTGGCGCTTAAATATAATGAACACCTTCTACCAGTAATGTTTGCTTCATTTCTGACTACAGACAGTCTCTTTTTTCTGATTATCATAATTTTCTACAGCGAAAACCTTATCGATATATATTTAAATTCTGTATTCATTTATCTCTTAGTAACCATTGCATTAATTCATATTTATTGATATATATATAATTTATATAATTTGAAATGCAATTCAGCGGTAAAATTAATTGTAATATATTTCAATAGTATTAAAGTAATTCCGTATATATTTTCATTATATACATATATATTTCTTATTAAAATATGCGTTATATTTGGTGAATTCACGTGTTTGAGTAGACAACCCTTGTTTTTTTCTTTTTAAGCAGAGTAATTGACATCAACCAGCGTTAGAAAGCGAAAGTGAATGCACCTCTCGACAGTGATCGAATCAGCATTTCCTTTATCATGGGAAAAACGCTCAAGCATGGTATGCTTAACCGTTGAGCCACGAGAGAACTTACAGCAACGCAAGATTCAAGTACACATTCTAAAGAAATGCACACCTATCGTGGGGGCATTTCGAAGTTCATATCTTTTTACTTTATATTTGTATGCGAAATATAAACGAAGTAATTTCTAAGAAATTAATGGGGTTTTTATTCCGACATTATTTCTTATGACTATAAACTTTATAGCTAGCGTATACACGTTTTTGTAATTGTGGGTCCAATCTCTAGGTCGAAGTACAGACTCAAAATCAATAGAAACAGGACTTCAAAAAATCTAAATGCAAGGTCAATCGTCATTTTCGGTCTTCTTATTTACTCTTCGTCTGTTATTTTCGCTTCTTTGTAATGTTTTGATTGTCTTATATTCTTTCGCACTCTGTAATCCCCTGCGTCTTAGTGGCTTTATTGCCTTTTTTAGGTTGAAATGATTAGAAAAAAAGTAAAAAGAACAAAACGGAGTATCCCAAGTGATAGACAGCAGAACGTGAACAATCTACCCCCGTAATTAAATAAAGGCCTCGTTTGGAGATTCCCTGGAGATTAGATCGATTGACAGACGCCCTCGAAGGTGGGAAATCACAACAACTGAAATGTGATAATAAAAAAAAAAAAAAAAAAACTATTTTGCTTAAATCTGTTTTAAATTCTGAAATTTCCCTGTCCGCGTCCTAGGTATAACGATTAACTCCATCCGCATCCTGGGTAAGACGATTAACTATATCCGCTTCCTGGGCATGACGATAAACTACATCCGCATCCTGGGTAAGACGATTAACTACATCTGCTTCCTGGGCATGACGATAAACTACATCCGCATGCTGGGTAAGACGATTAACTACATCTGCTTCCTGGGTATGACGATAATCTACATCCGCCTCCTGGGTAAGTCGATAAACTACGTCCGACATCAAGGCCTCTGATCAGGAGCATGGAACCACCTCTTAATTGCTGGTGTTCCCGAGTCTACCCTGGCCCGCAGTGGTGGCACCTGTTAGGGTTCCACATATGGGCAAATAGTTAACCTCCAAACTGAGGCCAAAACACTATGAAAGTGTAAAAATAGGTTTCACTACTAGCAATACTACTCTTGAAGAAAATAAATATTACCAGGAATACATTTTGGAAGGATCAATATTACCAGCAATACATTTTTGGAAAAGATATTACCACCAATAAAAATACTGTCAGCATTAAATAACCCATTGAGGCTGATATGCCGTAAACCAACCCAAACCAAACCTGAAATTTCCTTCTTCGAGACAATTTTCTACCAAGGGCTATAGAAACCAGTCTACTCTGCTATTTAATCCATAGATATGAGACGAGATAGAGTCATGCCTTTCTCAAGAACCTTTGGCAAAAAAGAACTCATTAGCCCGGGTTGTAATTTGAACTCGACCCGGTTCTAATTTTCCCGGCGATAGCCGAAAATCCAAAGCTTTAAACGTAGAATAATTCACTGGTTTAATACACGTGTCACACCAATGAGAATTGACTCAAACATAATTGAAAATACCAGTGCTTTCTGTCCGTTTTCTCTTAATCTCTAACGAAGATTAATAGCGATTTTCCAAGCGTAGCTTAGATGTGGCACAAGGCCGAAAGTAGGGGGTACCCAGTGAGGATCGAACTCACTACTCAATCGTAATTGTTCTAGCGAGACAAGCTTGCTAGCCATTACATCACCTCGAGAAGCTCCCTATCGAAGATTAATAAAAATGAAACAAGAAATATGCATACATATATAAATGTTTCATATAACGTCTGGAAAAAATATTTAATCATTTTACTTCGTGTATGTTCATTTATTTTTGTACGAATAAATAAATAAATAGGAAACACGACAAAATGTTAGCACAGTAGCCAGATTTCAGAATTCATGAAATATGCTTGAAGTAATTAGATAGTTATTCAAATTACTGTTATACTTTTTTCAGATTAAGTTAAAGAAAAAGTTATGGGAACTCCAAGTGTTTTGCATTTTCATAACGAATGCAAGTTTATCTATTTAAATTAGTCTGCAGTTAACACGGTGTCTCCCAACCCTTATTTCCCTTGTTGTCCCAGGGTTACAACACTATATCTTAATTAATTTTAGTACAAGCGACTTTGTTTTAACGTTGTTGCATATATGAGACAAGGGTATCATACGTAGTATTTTTTTTACCCATGACCTACCAGTGTATCGTTCAGTAACTGAGTCCATTTTATAAACATGAGTTCCACACGACCCACACGAATGTATGGTACAGCACTGCGTATGTAAAAATAAAATAATGACCTAAAAAACAACAGTAGAAATTCCGAAAGGAAAACAAAATAAATGGAATGTGGTTTTGGTGTCACATGATCTTATAAGCGATCAATCATAGCATCCCACTCCCAATAATCCTCATAGAAAAGAAATTGGCAAACGACCCAACGGAGGGGCGTGTGGGTCTTGCAAATATACCACCACAACCCTCCGGTTGTTTGTATGGGTGACAACGTGATTTGTTGAAAATTTTAACAAGACGTTGAAGCTGGTTAATTGAAAGGAAACATGGCTCCATCATGAGAGCTGTTAAAACATTAGAAAAAAATTATAAACGCGCATGAGAAGAACATTCATTATGGACTATTATAAAAGATGTTGAATGTTCACGGCTCTGGCTAAAATTTGGTGCAAGTATAAAAACTGGGTGTTGGTTATAAAGGGAAAATATACCGTGTTATCGCGTCAACATAGGAAAATCTACTATGTCTTGAAAACAGAAAATGAAACTGTTGTGTAGTGTCGTTTTACGACACGCGATCAGCAGTCAACTTCTTGTAGGCTGACTCTTTATTCTACACTTCATTTCTCCTATAACCAACATATACAAATAGGTAAAAACCTATTTGTCAATCCCTCTACAAAAACAAAAAAAAAAAAAAGAAATGGGCGGAAACAAGAATCAGTGTTTGTGACAGAACCCTGCGAAATCAGCTGATTGAAATAGAATTTAGAATAGAGAGAAACCAGAGAAAAGCCAGCGAAAACGCGTCAAGAAATAAAATCAAGGTTACATTAAACGAAGTAATAATGGAGTGTATCTCATTGGCTCAAAGGAATATTTACTGGTAAATCACTAATTTACATTGGCTTAGATGGTGTTGGACCTTTAGTCTTCTGATGTATTGCTCAAAATCTGATTAAAATTATACTAACACATTTTTGTACACCCCTTCTTTGTTGAACTTAGAATTTTTCTGCCTAGAATTTTTCTGCATGCATTCACATATTTGTAGGAGACAGAATCAACAACGCGCGGTAATGATTAAATCCTTTATTCTTAGAAAATATTGACAGTATTTCTATGCGAAAATATGCTGCAGTCGTGACTGGAAAGATAACAATACTTTTAAAATACCATTACGAAAACCAACAAGTTTTTAAAACATATTTCTATATTCCTCAAAGTTATTTCCTTGCTATCAATTTATTTACGAACTGTTTATTGCTAGGACCGATTGGGCGTTCGATTTGGCATTTGGCTATAAAGCGTACATCCTTTGTACATAGAGATATTATTCCGTTATAGAAGCCATTTTCT